TAGTTTCTTATACTTATAAGATTTCTATTAATAATAATAATAATAATAATAATAATATATATATATATATATATATATATATATATATATATATATATATATAGTCTTAAGGTGTGCTATATTTATGGGATAAAGTGCTCAATATCAGAGATAGAGCGTGTGTAAATATAAAAGTCAACATAGAAGTCAGCACTTAGAGGTGGCAGTCTGTTTCATGCTAGATGCAATTGTCAGGCCAGGTGTGCTGTTATTTTTCTCGGCTATTTCTATATACGGGTCAGTGGTGCATTGTGCGTTGTCTATTTTGGCGGTTATTTTCCCGGAAGTCGTTTATTTGTTTATTTATTTATTTGGGTTAAATTAATTTGCTTGTTTTTATTTATATTTATTTTTATTTTTATTTTAATTTTTATTTTAATCGGTGTCTTTATTAACGTAGTAAAAATTTGTTTATATCGCTTATTTAATAGTTTTCTTTTGGTTTGGGAAGATAATTAAAGCTATTTATTCATCTATGGGTAGATTGTTGTAGTTTACTCTAACGATTATTTTGGCGGGAACAGTTTTTAATTTGTTTATTACTCCAGGTATTTATTTGAATTGATTATCTTTATTTGTTTTTTCTAGCGGTTAGTTTATCGGGATCAGTTTGTTAGTTTATTTATTTGGATGAATTTAGGTCATTTTATTTTACTTGTTATTATTTATTTGTTATACTGTATATTTTCTCTTTTCGGTTATCGTGTATATTTACGTATATATGTATGTATGTGCGTATGTACTAATTCCTTGTAATAGGACGGTATGTTTATGTAGAGAGGAAGTGCGCATGCATATATATATATATATATATATATATATATATATATATATATATATTGGAAAAACAACTGGCACACGTGAGAACACTACACAGCATTGGGAGTATGTGTGTGGATTTATGTGTGTGTATGTGTACAAATGTATTTACTAATTACTCGTAAGAAGACAGTGTGTATGTATGGAGAAGGAATATACATGTATACACGTATGCTGACAAAAAACCCCAAGAAAATGGAAATAGATGTAATAACACATAACGGTCATTAAAAACTATGAATGCCGATAACTCCTTCACCATTTCTCGGACCAATCTTAATTGTTTTATAGCCCTTCACGCAGAGCTTTTAACTGCTAGTTCAAGAAAGATTTTTGGGTCAATAACAAACAAAAAGGAATGTCTTGTATCGAGAAGAATTAAAATCGAAAAACATAAAGGAAAAAAATGTTCAATAATATCTGGAAATCCCCACGCTTTGCCTGATGAAGGTCGCGAGACCGGAAACACGTGTAGCAAAATTATGGAAAATAAAGCATAATATTTTAAAAAATCCACATTACGACCAAAAACGTTTGCTGTTTCTCTCTTCTTTTAATATACACACTTTTCTCTCGCTGAAACTACTATAACCTCTTACTTTATATATATATATATATATATATATATATATATATAGGAAAGTCCGACAATTATTTAACACATTTTTATAAAAAAGGACGTATAATCATAAAAATGTCTCATATATATATATATATATATATATATATATATATATATATATATATATATATATATAATTATAGTTAGTGGTGCACATACGTGTGTTTATGGTGTATCAAACCTTGCTTGAGTGTTTTGAATATAAATGACATAATTCTAATTTTTTGCTAACTACAACCTGTCTTTTGCTCCTCTGAATTTCCAGCTTGACGTCAATCTGTCGCAAGGTAAGGACATTTTCTTTTGCCGAATTTCATTATTTACAAAGTTGACGAATGAGCTATCGCTTCTTATAAGAACTCGCGTCAACTTGAAAAGGCAGTTTGGCGTATTTTCTTCACATCTATTTGGCGCTGACTCCCCACCCCCCAAAAAAAACATTCTGTCTGCACAAATTTGAACACTGCGACCCGCAATATCTATCAATTATTTTATTAGTTCGGATATCATTTTCAATGTCCTTTCAAATGTAGCCGATCACGTCTCTCTACACTTCCATTTATTTTTAATGTTGTTTTTTTTGTGAACTGCAATAAATTCTTGGGAAAGATTTGAGTGGTTCCCGACTGACTTCTCAAGATAATTAAGTGAATTCGTTCTTCTTGACTGGCTGCCAGCCAAGGTTTAAAGCACAATCTGTTCTGCTATTGATCTAATAGATGTCTGAGGATATGAATCCCTGTCTTTCACAAGGGAAATATCTTAAAATGAGAGCAAAAGACGAGGTGGGAACTTGAACATGGATCGACGTTATTATTTCCTCCAAATAACCGTTATGGCACATGCACACAGCATTTCCATTATGAAATTTAATAAAATATTTCGTAGATTCATTATATATATATATATATATATATATATATATATATATATATATATATATATATATATATATATATTATTTAAACTATTATCTTTATAGGACAATAGTGTAAATGATATTGATGTACACAATAGTCCGCATGTAAATAATGATAACACCTCATCCCATATATAATTCATATATATATATATATATATATATATATATATATATATATATATATAAAAACGTAAATTCTAGTGGATAGACGCTTTATTTATTTATTAAACAGTATATTTATTTTCATCTACCGACCTAAATGTTCTAGAAATCTAGTAATTATACAAAGAATTAATTAGCAATGTTCATGTGATTAATGGCGAAATCAATTCGCTAACAAGACTTAATGAAACATTAACTTGCTATCAATTCCTTGATTAAGACGATCCTAATATTTGAATTGTTGTAAGATGGAATTGATGATCTTAGGCTTAGTACTTTCGACAATTTCAAATTGTCATCTTCAGGGCGTAATATTTCCGTTTACAGGTGAACACCAAGACGAAATAAATGTAGTGTAGACCAAATGTGCTATTTATTGACAGTTATAGTATAGTTATATATTACGCTCATTACCATTACCTGTCTTAATTCAATGTCCTTGAAATGTCTTTGATTATATTACCATTACCTGTCTGAATTCACCAGCATTGAACCATTTTTGATTACCATTAAAACTACCTGTCTGAATTCAAAGACTTTGAATCCTCTTTGATAAACATTACCATTACCTTTCTTGAAACGTCTTTGATTACATTATCATTACCTGTCTGAATTCAACAGCATAGAAACGTTTTTGATTACCTGTCTGAATCCAAATTCTTTGAAACATCTTTGATTAACATTACTTGTCTGAATTCGACGTCTTTGAAACGTCTTTAAAATCTCTTTGATTAATCCGGCAGCTTCTTATCCAGAATTGTTGCTTTGTGCAACAAGCTCCGGAGAGGAAGCTTTCCTGACAGCTATACCTTTGTCTCTTTAAGCTCAGGGTCAAACGATATCTATCTTACTCATAATGCTATCTTACTTCCCCTTTCCACTAAATTAAAATTCCACTCAGCAATAATCAGTAAAAACGGAAAAAAAAATCTGAATGCGTTCAATTGAGAAAAAAGGGAAAGCATATCAGTTATCTCCCTTTATATTGGTGTTATTTCCGTACTGATTGTGGTCTCTGGACGTCTTTTAAACGCGTTATTTACATTACTGGGACTATTGTCCTCATCTTTGTCGCCATATTTCTTACAACATTTCGGCCGTTGTACGCTCAGGCCTTCTTCAGGTGGTTGGAATGTCGAACTGAACCCTTTATTTCGCTCACTGGGGTAGACTGTTCTAGTTCCACGTGCCATGTTTAATGGATGT